CATTTGAGAAATGGTCAAAATCATCGGCTGGCGCCCTAGCATTCGAAGATCGCTCTCCGGCACGCCAGGATGCTCGCAAAAGTATTGCGCATCTTGATATCCTGTTTGCAAAATATGCACATGGCGATAAGGAATCGTTTGATGGACTGGGCGGTATAGTGGCTCATTCTGGATACCCCAAAGAAGGCATCATACATTTCGATGGGTCCGAGTTCTGGTCAGTGAACGGACGTCGCGGACTCGACCTCCGATATGTTCGCTTTACTTTACTCCCATTTCCTGTGCGAAGGAAATGAAATCTGTATGAAATTTGCCGTCTAAGAATGATCGTTCCTTTTTCAGGTAGCACTTCACGAAATCGGGCACGCGCTGGGCCTCAGACATTCAAGGGATCCGAGAGCTGTCATGAATCCCTACTACCGGTTCATACATTGATGCATTTTTCAGATTTTTTAACAACAGAAAATAAAGATTATCTTAGCAATCATAGGCGGATTCAGCGCTTGGGGGAAAAGGCGGGGGAGCAGGGTTTTGGCGCCTCTTACCTCCCCAACGGCACAAGTATTAGTGCTGCAAAGCCCGGATCTAGAGCTAAAACTAAGGTAAACTGAAGCCTAAAGTAACTCTAAGCGGCAGTGTTACAGCTTTATTCCTAGTTGTGTGTTTTTGCCTATATGCAAATGCAAAAACGCATATTGTGACGACCTCGGTGTATGTGTGGGTGTGTGTCTGTCCGGATATTTCAACTCGGTACCCAAGCAAGCTCCGTCGCCAAAATTTTGCCAGTGTCTTCCCCGGCCAAGTGCTACCCCAGGATTACGGCAAGTCTGGCCCCGTATACGACAGGGATAAAGTTTTGGCGGGAAAATCGCTAACTCCGCAACCAGAAAAACTAGAAAACTGAAATTATGGGTTTATGTCTCCCACCCACCTAGAACTCAAAGATTTCGAATTCAGCCCGCAGGTGTGCGTGGTTCCCGCGTATGGCCCCGTAGGGTTTCATGGTGCGAAAATCGACAACTTGGGGACCAGGAAAGCGGGAAAGCTGAGACTTTCAGAGAATGTTCCTAGCACAATTACAGCTTAAATTTGTCAAATTCAACCTCGTTTGTGCGTGTTTCTCATGTACGGCCATGTGAAATTTTTTGGCGCAAAAATGGCTAATTCGGGAACCAGGAAGGCGGAAGGCCGAGTTTTTCAGGGAATATCCCCAGCAAAGTACAAATTACAGCTATCAAATTCAGCCATTTAGTGTGCGTTGTACTCACGTACTGCCTCATGAAAATTTTTGGCAGGAAAATTGCTAACTCAAGAACTAGAAAGTATGGAAAGCTGAAATTTGAAAGGAAGGTTCTCTGTCCAAATACTGCATAGACTGTTAGCTTCCCGGACTTCGAAGACCAGTATATCACGCACTTCTATCTACTGGGTTTCTAAGCGATCTCATTACAGCACGAAATATTGCAAAAACGCATGATCACACGGGCCCACCGGTGCGCTTTGCCAATGATTTTTGCATAGTTCCGGGATGAGGGAGGGGACTCTTCTCCTACTTTCCGTCGCCCTCTTTTCCAGGAGTCCCCCTCTCACCTCCCTCCCACCCCACGTCGCCTCCCCCCTCCTCATTCCTCTCAGGAGTCCGTTCTGGGTTCCTGAGGGGAAGGGGGAAGTGGAGTGGGGTGGGAGGGGATGAGAGTGAGGCTTGTGTTAGCAATACTGCTTGATACTCAGTACTTAAAATGGCTATCACAACACAGTTGACTCATATCTGGCATATTCTCTTTTGGTATAGCCGGCAACCATGCCATCAGTTTGGTCTCCACATCCACAGCATATCAAACATTTCACTTATGAGATTGGCCCAGTGCATCGATAGTCTTCCGAATGCATCTTAACGATAGCCTTTGTTAATTGAAAGCCATGTGTTTCAGCCAAATCACAGAGGCATTTGTGAGGCTTCAGACGACCGTTTGCCTCATACAATCCATGCACCAACCGGAAATAGACTCTTTAAAATCCGTGACTTGCGTTCTGCTTTTAACTGCACAAAACGACACGCTGTGAGTTGCTCACCCTGAATAGTCCCAAATATCCTTAAAGTGATTTACTGACAACGAACTTGCAGTATCCCAAAATAAGAAATCTAAAAAAAAAAACGCTTTTTTTAGGGATCAACTAAAAGAAGGCGTTGAGCTCGGCGAAGACGATATTTTGGCGATCAGAAGACTTTATGCTGTAAAGAAAAACGAAACAGTGACAGCGAGACCGCGCGTGTCCCAGCACCGATGATATAAAAAGAGAAAGCAACAGTTGCCCTCGTTTCGATCTCTTCGGTATAAATATCATTCCATGACACCCATTCAGATTTGGATTTCGGTGCAAAGGCTTGCATTTCAAAA